CCTTTAATTACTTTTCTTGGTAAACTTGAAACAAAAGAAATTAAATATTCAATACTTTTGAAGTATCAATTAATTTTTCCATTTCTTTAGTTACAAAATGTATAATACTTAATTTTTCATTATGGAAATTATTATTACCAGCTCCTTCTTCTGCAGCAATAAAATACAATCTTTTTAACAATTCGTTTAAATTATCAATGTATTTATATTGAATTGGATTTTCTGTATAATTTATTCAACCTGATCCTTCATGCAAAGTTTGTAAGTTTTTATTTTCACTAATTTTATTCCAAATAGGACGGATCAGATTCATGTATTTATCCCCTTTACTTGATTTTACTTTTTTTGTATTTTTATTATTATTATGATATAATATTTCTGTTTCAATTAATATTTTTTCATAATTCTTAATATCATCGTCAGAATATAATGATTTACCTATATTTTTATTATATGATAATAATCTCCATAATCCTTGTGTTCCTTTGTAAATCTGTCTATTTAAAATAATATCGTTATCATTAATATTAATTTCATTTTTCCCTATCATATGCATATTTGTTTCATGATTATGAAACATCCCAAATTTATTGTCTAATAATTTAGTTAAATAATGAGCTGCATTAACCCCTATTTTGTTATTAATAATTTAATTTTTAATTTCTATTTCTAAATCTCTATTTTGTATCATATTTTGTTGCTTAATAATAAAATCTGATGTTTGTGTTAACGGTTTCACAGGAACTAAAAATGCTTTAATATCATCATCGGTTTTTCTAACAGCTTCTTCAACATTTTTTAATCCGTTGGTAATAGGTTCAAAAGCCTTTTGTTTTTCTATTTCATTATTTAGTTTTTTTTCATCTTCATTTCTATATAATTTTCACAATTTTTTTTCAAGATTAATTGTTTCATTGATATCTGCTTCTGTTAATTCTTTTTTCTCTTCAAAATATACTTTTTTTTCTAATTTATTAGGTTTTTTTAAGTTTAATCCACTTTTAATTTCTTTCTTAAGATTGTTTTGAATTTGTTCAAGCATTCTCATTTATTATAGAAAAATACATTTTTTTTAATATTCAACAATAAACATTCAATATTTAACAATTAACGATTAACGTTAATATTGAACGATTAATGTTTTATGGTTTTCTAATGGTTTTTTTAATGTTCACATAAAAATGTATCTAGTTTATTATAGAGATGATTATTTGTTATATCCATTGATAAGAATCCAAATGATTTTTTCCAACATTTTTTACAAATTAAATTAAATAAACTTAATTTATTATCACTTATAAAATCTTTCCATATTTTATAAATATAATTATCCGACTGTTTAAAAATAATTAAAAAATTTAAATTGTTTCTTATAATTTTTAAATTCACAGCAATATAACTTTGTGTTAAATAAATACTACAAATATTTTTATGTCGACCTCTTATAAAATATTTTTTCATTATTGATTGATTTTCTAAAATACAATCATCAAAAATAACTAAACTATTCGGTTTACNTCATTAAATACTTCTTCTAATTTCTCATAAATCGGTTGATCAACGGTTTTTGTAAAAATATAAAGATTTTCAAAAGGAATCCAAAAATTTATTATAATATTCCACAATAAATTTGTTTTTCCAGAACCTAAACTTCCTACAATTAAACAATGTAGTGGTATAGGAAATATAGATTCATGATTATCTTTTGTTCCCTGATATGGAAATTTGTCTATATTTTTATATTTATCTAAAATTTTCTCAAGTTTATTATGCTCTTTTGACATGTTTATTAAAGAAAATATTTATTAAAAAAAAATTTTAAAGATTAAAATCTTTAAAATTATTATTTTAAATTCATACATCTCCAATATATTTATAACCATTAAGTTCAGTTTCTTTCAAATATTTTTCTCTAGGAAAAAATTGTATATTTTCTAAAAAATCTTTTGTTCTTCATTGATTTTTTGAGCTTTAAATAACAACATTTGATTGTAAAATTTATAAACTATTAAAAATTCTGATATTTTTTCGTTTTGATTAATATTTTTCTCAAAGAGAATAAGAATTCCATTAACAAGAGATAATGTTGCTAATATTGGATTATAAATAAATCCTAATGATCCAATTGTAGTTGAAAACAACTTTAAAATAAGTATACATAAACTAAGGTTGTTATAGAAATTATAACTTTTGTGATATACATACATTCTTTTTTCTAAATATTCATTCATCATCTGTTTATTAAACTAAGATAAACAATAAATTCTGTAAATTTATTAAATATATTCCCTTCTAAGTCAAAAATATTTAATTTAATGTTTTGAATTTTTTCTGATTTATTAGTATATAAGTTGTAGTTGATGGTTTTATTATCAAATTATCTTGTGGGTTGTTAAAAATAAATAAAAGATCTTCTTCATAGTGAATATTAACATTTTCTTTATGATTGGATATAGATTTTTCGACTATATTACAATGTAATTCTAAAGGAATATTAGATGTTTTACTTGTTGGATAAATTCCAATTTTCGAAAAATTATCAAACTTAATCCCTAGATTATCACAAAGAATATTATCAAACATAAAATTATTTTCTTAACTTTTAATTTCAATTAAATTATTATCGGAAACTTTTATTTTCATTTTAAAATATTGTTTAATTGTTCAATAATATAGTTCGATTTATGAATATTAATAGATAAACCATTATCAAAATATATGTTTCCTTCTATGTTGCTTAAATATTTTACATTATTTAAATTTGGTGTTTTTTCAGCAGTTTTAGTAAAAAATGTTTTTCCAGTCTCAATATCTTTTTGAGTAGGCCATCTATAACCGAATAATATTGAATATTTTGTAACATTGCTATCTTCTATTTTATATTCAAAACCTAGACAATCAGATAAATATGAATCAAACCCAATATTAAATGGAGATGATATTTTTAATAATCCGTTTCCAAGTGTAACTTTTGTGGTTTTATTTAGACTTTTTTCTGGGTAACTATTAAATATTTTTTCAAGAGATTTTAATGAATACAATCCAACTCTTAATGTACTCGTTGGTATATGTCCGTTTCTCCCAATAACAAATTTACATTCTTGATTAATTTGTATAATCTCATCTTCCGGATTAGGTAATATAAATTTTAATGGACAATATCCAACTATGGTATTATTCATTGTGTTAAAATAATTTTCTTTTTCAAGATCAAAACCTAAATATTTGTTTAACTTTTTGTCTAGATTAAAAAAACAGGGGATTTGATATTAATTTTATTTTCTTTTATAGAAATTATTAAAGGTTTAACAATTTTATTTAATTCATCTATAGTATATTTTCCAGATTTTAATTCAATTATATTTCCTTCAACTTTTAATAAACAATCTGTTTCAATATTTATTAAATTTGAAGTAATATTTAAACCTAAAACACCAACAAATAAATTATCTCCAAATATAGGATTTTCTAACCTTATAAATCCTTTTTTTATTTTTATTATTCTCATTTATTATAAATAATATTTTTTAATTTAAAATAAATTAAATCAAAAAGTTATATTTGTTTTCTTATATTACAATAAAAATATGAGTATTGTTTTTTAAATAATTAAGAAATTTAAAGAGTTATATTCCTGAAGCATTAGTATTAATTAATCAAGAAATAATAATAGAAGAATTAAAAATAGAAATTAAAATTTTATTTAATAAATGAATAACTAGTCCCGTCTTACAGATGGGACTTAATTATAACAAATTAAAAACAATTTATGTAAATGAATCTAGTTTATATTCTCTTATTTTTAAATCCAAAATGAAAGAAGCTAAATTATTTACAAAAGTGGGTTACTTCTGAGGTTCTTCAAACTATACATAAAAAGGAGAATACAAGTTTTTTAATTTAAAATAAATTAAAAAATGGAACTAGAAAGAATATATAAAAACTAATCACTATTCAAATTCAATCAAATAAAATATTTTATTGTTATTAAGTTTTTTTACACCTTTACATACCAAAAGGATTTACTCTTGTGTGTTTTTATTGATTGTTTCAATTTCCCTATGAGACAAATTATTTAAAAATCTATCAGGTAAAAATAATTTAAATTTATCATCTAAAATAACACTTAATTTGTCGCCATATCTTGTTTTATCAATACTAAAATATTTACATAAATATTTCTGATCAATTTCTAAATCGTA